AGAGAATTAACCTAGAAATGTCTTCAGGACCAAAAGTGCCCATAGCATATTTAAATACGTAGCAATTGTTTTATAAAAGCAATAATGCACTTAAGGCTGTGCTGTTTGGAAATATCCATTGCTTAACATACTTTAGCTGTGGTTAACTTCTCATACCTTATTACTTAAATGATCGCTATGTAATAAAAGTAAGTACAAAGTCACCAGTTATCCCAAGATATGCGTTGTAACTTGTGGCATTTCTTTTTTTAAGATATAATGCATGATGTCTGAGGAAAATAGCTGTTTCTGAAATACCTGCTGGAGAGTTAAAGTCATCACAACCATAGCTGTCACACGCTCGCACTTTGTTATGATGGCTCCCAGCACACTGAGCACTCCAGCAGCTGCTGAAAAAGGCCACAGGAGTTTGTCTGTCTCATTATGTTTAAAGACACCAATGAACATTAGGCTACATCTAGTCAGAAAGTGTCAAATCAGACCTGGCGTACAACACTGACAGATGTATTACGCTGACAGATTCTTGGCTTGGCTCCTCTCGTCCAGTTTAAGGCCTCTCTGGCTTTTCCAATCACAGTCAGTCTCTTATCAAGTTGGCTGATTTTCATTTCCTCCCCCTGAACTTTCCTTTTTCTTGTTTTCTTATCATTTTCAAGGCAAAGGCCCATGAAAAACACTGCAAGAAGCAATATACGGATACATTCTTTAAAATAAAACTGCGTTATACTGTAAATATAGTATAGATTTAATACATTATTTGCTAAAAATCTCAGCCGTAGCTTTTAAATCAAATGTGGTACCATTGATGTAAAAAAAAAAAGACGTCTGCATGACTCATGGAAGCCAATGATTTTTGGCATCACTGATATCAAAATTTATGCAAAGATGTTGTATGATTTAAAAAAAACTTGATTTAGTTGTATGGACCACTTTTATGCTTGTTTTATTGTCATTTTGGTGCTTGAAAAGAAATAATACAACTATTAAGAACAGAAAATTAATTAAACGTTTATTTTATTAAGAACAATTTAGCATCCTTTGTTCTGTAAGTATTTTTTTTATAATGTTTTTCAGCACAGTGATAATAAAAAATAAAATTAAAAAAATCATAAAAAATAAATAAAATCTTCAAGTTTTCTAAGCCATAAGCCAGCTATGCAACTCTGTAAACTTTGCTTTGAAGCAGAAAAACTGGGGGGAAAAGATATGACTGTGGATTTTAATTATTTTTTCTATGAATTCTACCTAATAATCACATGAACCGCCATGAATTATGTAATGAATCAAAATTTAAAATACAATATGAAAATACTGATTTTAAGTTTAAAATAAAATACAATACAGCACATTTGAAGTTTACTGTAAAATATATACATTTATGCGGATATCAGTGCAAATATAAGTAGTTTTGGAGTTTGATGTGCAGTGCTTTGGAGGCTTCAGGAACGGTTTGAAAACCCCTGCTCTAGGGAACAATTATTAGCAATGCTTCATGGAAGTGGGCGATCACTGCTGAACTCTTTCGCTGTAGTTTTTGTTTCGGTGGTCACAGTGACTTCTGTGACTGGTGGCACTGCCTTCAGGATTGTGGGTGTTGTTAAATGATTTTTGAGAAACATATACTATCACTTAACAACCTAAGAGCTCATGGTAGATCTGTCTTGAAAGGTTTATTCATTGTCATTAAAAATCAGTGTCTCTATGGAAAAAATGAATGGGATTTTCAAGTAGAACCCCACTGGTTGGCTCTATATTGTGTATTTTAGCACAGCTGGAAAACTGTATTGACTAGTCAGCATTCATGACTGGAACTTTCTGTTTTATAAAGTACAATAAATACATGGTTATAAATCTTGAACCATATTTCTGTAAGATGCAACATAATCTGTAAACATAACATAACATAACATAACATAACATGACATGACATAACAAACATAACATATAACATAACAGCATAACAAACATAACATAACATAACATAACATAACATAACATAACATAACATAACATGACATGACATGACATGACATGACATGACATAACAAATAACATATAACATATAACATAACATAAAATAACATAACATAACACATAACATATAACATAACAAACATAACATAACCAAACATAACACATAACATAACATAACATAACATAACATAACATAACATAACATAACATAACATAACATAACATAACATAACATAACATAACATAACATAACCATAACAAACATAACATAACATAACATAACATAACATAACATAACATAACATAACAAACATAACAAACATAACATATAACATGACATGACATGACATGACATAAAAAACATAACATAACATAACATAACATAACATAACATAACATAACATAACATAACATAACATAACATAACATAACATAACATAACATAACATAACATAACATAACATAACATAACATAGCATAGCATAGCATAACAAACATAACATATAACATAACATATAACATTACA